AACCATAACGATACATTAAAGCATAACAAACAAATAATAACAAGTATAATTTCAAAGCTTGTTTTCTTAAAACCTTACTTCCCCGACTTCCTCATGCTACCCCTTTCTGGATCCAATTTCTAATCGATTATTCAGCAAATCTTCTCATATTTTAGCTTAGTTTGCTCTTGTTTTTCTCCTTATCTTAACCATTACCGCCGTCAACCATTTATTTCACTAATCCAACATCAATTTAAACTTCATTAATTTTACAATATTTCTTTAAATAGTCCTTAAACTTCCTCCATTCTTCTTCCGCTGCTTCTCTCCCCTGGTTTCGGATTCTGGTCGTCATCTCTGCTAGGCCCATGTAGTCGATCACCTTCATCTGCCATTCTTCCAAGGTGGGTAGATCTTGTGTCTTATTTGCAAACTATTTTTGGAAGCCAAATGTCTGATGACACTTCCATGGCTTCCGATTGGCTGCAGAACCTTCCTGCAGCCAATCAGAAGCCACACTTTGGTTTTCAAATGTTTTGGAAGTCGAACGGACTTCCAGAACAGATTCCGTTTGACTTCCAAGGTACAACTGTATGTCACTGAAGCAATAACAGTGTCTTAGTAGTGAATTTATATTGGACCGTCCACCCATCATTTCACTTTATTAGTTGTTTTGCAATGCTTCCCCAACACTAATGCATTCTTGCCATCCAGAGGGTGAAAGCAATCTTGCCGTCTGTAGCGCAACAAAAGTGGGACAAATATTAAACCTGAATATGTGTGGCATTTAAAAGTTACAGGGTTTCAGCAGGAAGCTACGGGACATGCACTCACCAGAGATAAAGCAGGATGTCAGCCCCAAAACTTCTGCAGGCACAAAGTGTATGAACTGTCCCTTTACCATCATGAGCCCAAATCATCATCAGCACATAATAAAAAGTATGGGAGGGGAGTGTAGTACTGACTCATCCAGCAGTATCCCAGACCTCTCCCTCCACAAAAAATGTTGCTCCCTGGGCTTCAGAGAGGCTGAGAGCGAGCAGAGCCCACAGTGTCCATGATGAATCCATTCCTGGGTTTTTGTCACTCCCTACCTGTCCTGAGTCTAAACCATCTCTCTTTTTTTTATTATTCTCACCCCACTCCCCTTGGAAACTTGCATCTTCTCTTCAAGTTGCTGATTGTTCAGCCCAACCATGCCTGTCCCCACACTCCTCCCTCTGACCTTCTTCTCCCCACAGCTGCAGCCAGTTTATCTAACAGGATGTCTAATTTATGTCCAATACAAATGCGTGCAAACAACAACTTATCTATTTTAGCACCTTGCATTAAACTTTCCCCAGGGAGAGATAATAAAACCTTCAGGCCTTCCGTTGCCTGCGCTCTCTTTCTCTCTCTCACACACACACCCAAAAAACCCACCCTCTTTTCTCCTATGTTTGTGGCTTCCATGAACATTAGGACTTTTGCTATGGATAGAAAGCAGATCCCACCTGCCCCAGTACGAGATAGCAGCAGATTGCTCTTTTATCTGTGTGTGTCTGTCTAAACAACCTGTGTCTTGTCACCTCGGAGGGAAAGCAGTACCAAGCAAGGTGGCAAATGCACAGTGCAGGGCCCATAAATCGAGCAGGTTGTTGCTCCCAGCCTGGGAAGGAGAAATGAGCATCGTGTTTATGAGAAAGCAGCACACACACACACACACACACACACACAAACACACACACGATCAAGAAGAAATCCCAGTTAGGGCTGACTGCTGAAAGGCCTTGTCATGCTCTACACACACACACACACACACACACCCTTGAGAGAAGCAACCAATGCGGACACTAAGTGAGGCCTGTCTCCCAAGGGCTGTTTAGCATTCTGGTTGCGCACACCACCGGCAAGGAGCGGGCCAAGCCCACTCAGATTTCACAGCACGTCCGCAAGTCATTGGCAGGTTTAAAGCCCTACAAAGGCAAAGCCTGAACGAGGCAGTGATGGAGTGATCGAGCGCACAGCCATACATGCCCAGGCACATATGAGAGCAGAATGGATGCATGCAGCAGCACACTGATGTAGCCCTCGTGCTCCCTCTCTTTCTCTGGGTCTGGCACAAATGCACAATGGCATACCCTCCAACATTTCTCCAATGAAAACAGGGGCGTCCCATTCCATAATGATAATTTTACTACAGTGGTACCTCGGATTAAGTACTTAATTCGTTCCGGAGGTCTGTTCTTAACCTGAAACTGTTCTTAACCTGAAGCACCACTTTAGCTAATGGGGCCTCCTGCTGCCGCTGCACCGCCGGAGCACGATTTCTGTTCTCATCCTGAAGCAAAGTTCTTAACCTGAAGCACTATTTCTGGGTTAGCGGAGTCTGTAACCTGAAGCGTATGTAACCCGAGGTACCACTGTATTTATACCCCACACATCTTATTGGGTTGCCCCAGCCACTCTGGGCAGCTTCCAACATATATAAAAACATAACAAAACATTTTTAAAAAATTAAAAACTTCCCTATTCAGGATTGCCTTCAAACGGCTCGGGGGGTGGATAACTCCATACCCTCCAACATTTCTCCAATGAAAATAGGGACAGCCTAAGGAAAACCGGGACATTCCAGGATCAAATCAGAAACCAGGACGCCATCTCTAAATTAGGGATGTCCCTGGAAAATAGGGACACAGATAAGACACGTAAATGGCACACATGTAATTTAATGGCAGGCTAATTTTGAATATATTTTAGAATTTTTGTTTATTATTTTTGCTGTTTGATACAGTTTTGTTTCTTGGCTATATTGCTGCTACTATTGTTCTGCTTTCAGATTTTATTGCCATTCCTGAACCTATCAGGATACAGGGCACTTCCAGATCGTCACTATTTTCAGGTGGGATTCAGCTTCGTACCACCAAATTCAAAGCACACAGTTAATGTGAATCTGGGACTCTAGAGCAGCAAACCAACTTCCTTGTAAAAAAAAACAGGAAAGTGACAAGAAAATGCACTGGAAAGTGTTGGATAACATTTGCCTGACACAAGGTCGCCTAGCCTCCCTGCAAACAAATCAGGAGGAAAGCTCAACAAACAACCAAGGTCATATAACCTAAAAACTTTTGTGCAAACAACTGAGGATGAAAGCTCAGCAAACAGGTCATCTGAAAGCAGCCGCAGTTGGTTCAAACGTGAAAGAAACATCATGAGCACAAGTAAGGAAAATGGTTGGCCACCCGCTTTCTAGTTACCCCAAGCAATTAAAAGAAAAGAAATTAAAAGTTGAATCACCTCTTGCTTATGAGTCAAGGAGGTGCAAATCAGGTAATTCCTTCCCCATCTAGGGCTGGGGGGGGGGGGATTGACAAGGACAATTTCTTAGCCATTTCACCCACATTTGAATTGGCTGTTTTGTTTTGTTGGGGAAATTAAAAAGGAGGTTTTCTGTCTTGGGCCCGGTCTTATTCAACATCTTTATCAACGACTTGGATGATGGACTCAAGGGCATCCTGATCAAATTTGCAGATGACACCAAACTGGGAGGGGTGGCAAACACCCCAGAGGACAGGATCACACTTCAAAACGACCTTGACAGTTTTAGAGAACTGGGCAAAAACAAACAAGATGAATTTTAACAGGGAGAAATGTAAAGTATTGCACTTGGGCAAAAAAAATGAGAGGCACAAATACAAAATGGGGGACACCTGGCTTGAGAGCAGTACATGTGAAAAGGATCTAGGAGTCTTGGTTGACCACAAACTTGACATGAGCCAACAGTGTGACGCGGCAGCTAAAAAAGCCAATGCAATTCTAGGCTGCATCAATAGGAGTATAGCATCTAGATCAAGGGAAGTAATAGTGCCACTGTATTCTGCTCTGGTCAGACCTCACCTGGAGTACTGTGTCCAGTTCTGGGCACCACAATTCAAGAAGGACACTGACAAACTGGAACATGTCCAGAGGAGGGCAACCAAAATGATCAAAGGCCTGGAAACGATGCCTTATGAGGAACGGCTAAGGGAGCTGGGCATGTTTAGCCTGGAGAAGAGGAGGTTAAGGGGTGATATGATAGCCATGTTCAAATATATAAAGGGATGTCACATAGAGGAGGGAGAAAGGTTGTTTTCTGCTGCTCCAGAGAAGCGGACACGGAGCAATGGATCCAAACTACAAGAAAGAAGATTCCACCTAAACATTAGGAAGAACTTCCTGACAGTAAGAGCTGTTTGACAGTGGAATTTGCTGCCAAGGAGTGTGGTGGAGTCTCCTTCTTTGGAGGTCTTTAAGCAGAGGCTTGACAACCATATGTCAACTGGAGGTTACCCACACAGAAACCCAAAGGAAAAGGATGCAGGCAGCAAGTGAAAAGATAGACCTTTATTAAAATACAAATGCACATAGGGACAGCCTTAAATTAAGGAGGCAGCTGCAAGAAAAAAAAGTTACACACTTGTGGATCACACAGGTCATTTCATTTCACCAAAGAATCACAGCAAACTTAATAGTTGTAACCCAATGCCATCATTCAGAACCAATCAAAAACATTTGGCTCTTCAGATCATCATAATATCATGTAATTAATTACATATAACCATTTTTCAGCATCTTTCTTTATTAAGACTTTGGCTAATTTTCCTATTCATTAAATGTCTCCCAATATCCCCTTTCATCTATCTACAAAACAATTCAAAATTCATCACAATTGCCATGCCTAGCTGATTTTCTTTTCAGGTATACAGTGGCCACCATAGATTCTAACAGTTTATTCTTTTTGGTTTTCTGGAATGGACATTCACCACGTACAGTACCTAAAAGCGGCTAGTTCTGTACCGTGAAAGGTAGTCCATAGGCTTAAAAGAAAATGGAATAATCCAAATACAGTTTCATGAAATTATTATTTTCTCCAACAGTTTCACCTATATACTGACGAGATGTGAAATTTGAGGGGTGGAGGTGGAAGGAGAATAAGAGTGGCCGCCATTTTGTTTTGGAATTTGGGGAAAACAAAATGGCTGCCATCATTTTGAAAAATGGCTTCCTCTTTTGCTACTCCCTGAGGGCCACAACCATACTGCTAGACGGTTGGCTATCTACAGAAAAAGCGCACACTTTTACTAAATCGGTGGATTGTTCCTCCAGCCACTTGCCTTCTTTGAGTGGTGCAATATTAAGTATTCCTCCAGAGAAAAAGCTGTGGTTGAAGCAGTCTCGTTGTTTTTTTTAAAAAGAGTGTTCCATACCATCTTATTTTTAATCCTGAAGGACTAGGGAAACATTTTTTATTTTATTTTTACATTTAGATGTTTAAAAATAAAATGGAACGAGAATGTCTTTCAGAAAAAGAAACAAAGAAGCAAAATCCACCAGAAGCCGGGCATTTGTAGAACAATCCCTCCTCAGGCATCCTCACATTTGACTTTCAGCTGTCTTCTTGAAGACTTTTTTTTGCCTATGCAGTTGTTTACCATTTTCTTGAGTCATTTGAGTGATAGTTTTGTACTACTTTTAAGAGGGAGGGGGTATACTTTTATATTGCTGCACCACGATCCTGATTTTGTATGAGAAGGCAGTGTGTGTGCTCAGAGTTCAGCAAAATAATCTGAAATAAGCAAGGATCAGAGAGGTTAAGTTGAAATTTATTTTGAGAAACAATGTTGGGGGTGAGGCCATTTCACATTCCTCCTCAATTTACTGAGTCTGTTTCACACATATTTTTTTTTTGGTCAAATCACTGTTTCGCCCCGTCCCTAGGCATGTCATGAGAAAGAAAATGCATGGATGCAACTATAAATATTTGGAAACAGCAAGTGTGACCGAGACTGAAGCAGCTGGGAGAAACTGGAGTCAGAGAATATTTTTGGGAGACATTCCTTGTGTGGGCATAGAATGTGAAGTAAGTACTACAAATTAGTTTTGTAGAAGTCAAAAAACTGAGGTGAATCAGTGAATGTTCAGGGTGAATGATCATTTTTCGCCATTGTATGTTGGACAAGTGGGGACATTCAAAAACATTTATCTAGGATTGTCAACATCCACCAGATTTGGGACATTCACTGCAACATGTGACAGGTAATGTCACAAACTTGGCGAATGTTAACATTCACAGGTAACTTTCCAGAGGTCAGTGGGAAATGTCACAAAACTTTGTGTCGTGAGGCTGATATATTTTACACTGGCTTGATATGGAGTATGTCCTTTCTTAGTAAATGATGAAAATGACTGCGATAAGTTTGATATTTCCTGAAGGCATTCAGTTGGCAATGACATTTGTGGTAACTGTCATAATTTTCTGACTCTCTTAGGATTTATTCCTAGACATCAGTACTCACCTGCGCTGCAACATTAAGTACTTACATACACCCTCACTGATATGTACAAAAATGTGTGTGTCTCGCCTGACACATATTTCCTATAGATGGTCAGACTATTACTATGTGTTTTTGCAATGGGACCAGACAATCAGCTCAGCCAAATATTTGAAATCTGGGCTCTTCGTTCAGTGTGCTTCCATTATTATTATTATTATTATTATTATTATTATTATTATTATTATTAGCCTGGGCAAGTTGATGGAGATGGGGTTGTGCTCACAAATTCTCCTCAATGCCCCTGTTACATCTGCTCTCCATCTGCATTGACTCCCACAAGGCTTTGCATGGTTTAATGCACAACAGGGCTGCACCCATGCAACTTCCTCCGTGTTTTGCTGCAGTTCAACAACACCATGGCTTTTGCAACATTGCATGAGCCCAACATAACTTGCTGCCAATCCTGTATTCTTTTGCAAAGAAGAGCGCATGGCCAGGCAAAGAGGTGCACTCATTCCAGATCCCCCAAGTGTCCCATGTTGGAGGGGATGGTAGGACATCCCTATTTTCATCAGGGAAATGTTGGAGAGCATGGAGTTATATGACCCCTGAGCCAAGGGGGTTTTATTATGTTTTTATATATGTTGGAAGTTGCCCAGAGTGGATGCAGCAACCCAATAAGATGACTAGGTAATAATAATAATAAATAAATGGAATAGGATATCCCTGTTTTCACCGGAGAAATGTTGGAGGGTATGTCATTCAATAAGTGTACATTATATGTGAGAGAGTGCCTTTAACAATGCTCTAGAAATTTCACCTGGTCCAAAACAGAGCAGCCAAAATGCTAACTGAGGACTGGTCATTATAAGCATATGGTGTAGTCAATGCTTAGACATCCACACATGCTTCCAGTCGATTTCCAGGCCCAATTTAAAGTTCTGGTAGTGACCTTTCAGGCCCTAAGAGGCTTCAGGCCAGTTCTCTGAAGAATCATCTCCTGTCTATACTTGTCCAAACCATTTGATCGTCTTTAGAGGCCCAAATGAGGTACAATGTGTGACTGCTGGATAGAGGGCCTTTTTGGTGGTGGTGCCTTGCTTGTGGAACACCCTCCCCAGAAAGGCTCACCTGGCACCTTCTTTGTGGTCTTTTCCATACCAAGGGAAGAACATTATTTCATAGTTTTATAGACTTGTTGTTTTATAGGCTTATAGTTTTAGTGCAGGGGTTGGCAAACTAAGGCCTGGGGGCCAATCCGAACCGCGGATGCCTCTGGGTGACGCCTCTTCCTTCCCGCTGAGGCAGCCAGGTTTGCTGCGATTTGCGCATGCACAGAATCGGCTTCTGCCACCGTCTGCACATGCACACAACGGCGCTTCTACCAGCGACCCGTTTCACCTAAAGGACAGGCCGCTGGAACCGATTATGGTGGTAAGTAGAGATTCCCCTGTAGTATATTTTTAGTCTTCATTGCTTTATACCACCCAGATATGCTATAGACATTTTATGTCTCCAACTGCCCTGAAATTGCCAGGACCATAACGGCTTCTCACTACGTTATGCAGAGTCCTAAATTCCACAGGTGGGGGAAAGGAGTAGGGATGGGCAGGGGCAGTGGCTGGGGCTGGGGCTGGGGCTGGGGGGAGGGGAGGCAGCCCAGCCAGACCCATGGGGAGGGAAGGGGAGGGGAGGGGATGGCAGCTGCTGCCATTCCACTCCTCCTCAGCTCTGCCAGGTGGTACTGCTCAGTGCATCAAACTACAGAGAGTGGGGCAACAGGAGCAGCCTAGGGGGCCGCAGGTGCACAGGAGCCCTTCAGCTATCATAGCTGCCAACCATAGAGACTATGTTGCTGGTGCAGAAGTGCTGCCTTGTAAACATCTGGTGTGGGTCCCTCCTCTGATGCCCAAGGCAGGCTGATGGCAACCTCAGGATTTTTACCATATATAATCTAATGCTCCCTCATATAACCAAGACACTTGCCAGTATGGTATTGTTACATACTCCTCTTGGTAAAAGCCATTGGGGCACCCTTTTCCATCAACAGTGTGCATATATTGGGGGCAGGGGGGACACAGATGTAGAAAAGAATATCCCTGTTTTCATCAGAGGAATGTTGGAGAGTATGCATATTTGTGTGTGCATGTACATATCCCTGATACACACACAGCGCCCTGATACTGAATGAATCCACACACACATCCATCATTGTTACATAACTTCTCCCACTTATTTCAGTTAATTTTTAAAAATGAAATTGTGGAGCCATCTTATTATCAAATGTATCTCTGGGCCATGAGGACCAGAAACTTAGCTTTGGACATTAAAAGTGGATTTTTAAAAGCATGTTTATAAGAGTTTCCAGGCTACTAAAAAAACAAAAAAACTAGTGCATGTTGCATAGCTCTGGGGGGTTTTTTGGTGGGGGGGGGAGAGACAAAAACAATCACTCCGTTCATTATTCCTTTGTTTAACAATATTTACATGCAACCTGCCACATAAAACACATCCAGGCACTGCTCAACAATTAAATATTATCATCTGCAATATACTAAAAACCAAGTACAACAAGAGCAGCAGACAAAAGCTTGTGATGGGGAGTATGACGAGCCATCAGCCATTCCTAAACACTGTGCCCAGAGTCACGAAAGGAACCTGGATCATGGCTCAGTTGACAGAGCATCTTAATTTCAGGATTGATGCTGGGCAAAAGATTTCCACATTGGAGGGGGTTGGACTAGATGACCCTTGTGGTCCTTTTCACCTCTACAGTTCAATGGTTCAATTAGAAATGCTAACTATACATTGGAAATAAAGCCTATTCTTTTGTAGGTGAGGAGTCAAAGAATAGTCGCATCATAACGTGTATACTAGGGTTTGGGGGACTTTGGGCCCTCCACAAGATGGACTACAACTCCCATTATCCCTTCCTCATTGCCCTTGCTGGCCGGAGCTGATGGGCAGCCAACATAGGGCAGACCAGGCCACAGTCTTCTGCTAAAAATGGGAGGGAGGAAAAGAAGGTCATTGCTTAATAATAATAATATAAAAAATCCCCCTGTCTCTTTGACTTGGTGATAGCAAACCAGGAAGTCTGGGAGGAGGAGGAGGAGGAGGAGGAGGCGAAATGCAAGATAAGTTTCATTTAGCCGGATGGGTGAACAGAAGAAAGGAGGGCAGAGAGAGAGAGGAGAGAGACAGAGAGAGGGACCGATGAAGAATAGCAGCGGGGGAAGAGTGACTCTCTGCATATGTGCTCTTTCAGCGCGCTGAAAAATGTCTCTAGCAGAGGAGGCGATCGCGGCGTGAAGGGCAGGCGGCTCGCCGGATTCTCCTTCCCTGCTGTAGTTTTGCTTAACTCTATACTCATTGTAGCAAAGAGCTAGCGGTGGGACAAGCCGTAAAGATGAGTTATCGGCCCGCGACAGGCAGAAATATAATCATGGAAATGCTAATGACTCCGCGCTGCCTTTCTTTATGGCGAGTGTAATACAGACTTCAATCATAAAAACAATCTTCCAACATTTTAATGGGCTCCATCATGCGCACGCTTGTCCGTATATTTGAAAGATAAATCAAGGCCCCCAGTTGGAATGAATTTCCCGTCAAACTCTGCTACTCGTTGGAAATTGATTGGCTTTAAGTCTGGATAGTTTTCACAGGCAGGTCTGGCTGCAGGAGGTGGGGGGCTGGCGGGGTGAGGGGCAAGAGAGCATTCGTGCCCAGCCGGGCTTCCAGGAGCTTCCGTTTGCTGCCCAGGGGAGAGTTTCAGGCAGGGCTGAGGAACCTCAGGGCCAGGGCGGAGGATAGGAAAGGGTGTGGGGAAAACCTGTGTAGAAAGTAGCCTTCGGAACAAAGGTAAAATGTCCCCTTGTTGCTCCGCCCACTTTTGCCTCCAGCTCCGCCCACCACTGGCCCCTGGAAGGTGGCCCAGAAGGGAATACGGCCCTCAAGCTCAATCTGCTACCCCTCCTTCCTGCTCCCCAGCCCATTATGAACTTGTGCTTGGGCAATGCACCCAGCCAGAAACTCAGAGGGAAGTCATTCAGGTCTCTGCCATCTCTCTCAATGCAGAATAAAGGAAGCCCAGGGCCCCATCCTGCCACAATCCACGGTGTCCATGTATCTCTGTGAGATCCTGACCCTGATGAACAACCCTTTCTTGCTTCTTCGCCCATGAGCCTGTTGGATATTAACAGCCATAAACTATTCCACAGTCGTCAGGTCAATGCTCACACAAGTCAATATTCCAAGCTCACCAACTCAATAATCATGTCGCTGGGCTTCGGTTATCTGTCATCACACAGAATGAGCTAAAACACATCCACACTGGAAGCGTGTTCTGAAATCGGACCTTCAATCAGGTTTGCAGTGCGAATGTCACAACAATATTGCCCATAATGGTCATTGGTGTTACAAGTGGTTTCCCTGCCCCCATCCTTTCCCACATGAACAACAATGTGTGTGTTTTCACCTGTGAGGTTTAGATCAGCTTTGAGTCTCTCACATGCTGTGTGTGTACAGCCCTGATTGTTGCCAATGCAGAACATAACACAGTACAGAGTTGTGTGATATCAGTGGG